GGAAAGAGCATTAAAAACATATCATCCTCAGAACAACATTCCCCGCCGCTGCACACACAGCATCTGGTTTAATACATAACTTAGGATAAGCCCTTTTCCACCTCATTTCTGTTTTGGACTCCACAATATCCTGCAGCAGTTAATTCTACAGCGTAATTATAAATGTTTTAAAATTATGTCCTTGTGTTTGTTCTAACACCTGATGATTTATTAGGATGCTACTCAATTCCTGTATAGCTAGAGAAATGGAGTGGTTGTTCCTTCCATCATCTGCTGCCAAAGGTGACACTCTGGAAGCGGGAGGGGACAGGTCTGGCTGGACTCGATGACCTCCAGAGGACCCTTCCAACCTGAATTATTCTCTGACCAATTGTGGGCCAACAAGGTAGGCTCCATCTTACCACGAGGTTGGGACGCTCTCCTCCATACCATATAAATCCATATTGCACACTGGCGTGGTACTATTTATAACCTGCTGGGAGCCTGTTTAATGACAAACTGTCTCATGCTCTCCAAAGAATGTGCATTATCAGGAGGCTCGCTGCTGATAAGGGTGCGCCTGCACACCCATCTGCTCCACCGTTTTATTTGCAATACAAACCAGTTTAGGCTGCAGAGAAACTGATTTAACCATTTAGCTCCGCCTTCACATAAGTTTTGTCTATCAAAATAGTTCACTCAAAATAGTTTGTGTTTTAGTACACTGACTTTGTTCATTCTAGCTTCAAAGAGAGCTTCGACGACATTTTGGGTAGCGTGCTATTCTTGAACATTGTAACGTTGCTCTACTTTTACTCAGAGTAAGCAGCGTGAGAGAACTGAATACGCTTGCTGGGATGCTTTAACAGTGGGACAGTAACCAGGACGAAGGAGGTGATGCTTACTTTGTCTATGACATTAAAATCACTACTTGAGTACGGTGCCCACATTAAAAAAAAAAGCTGAAAAATTTGAGACAATAGAGAAAAGAGGAGTAAGATCAAAGATTTGTTTTTCTCTTCTGGCTATTTATTGTGAATTACCCTTATGTGGATACCTGAAAATTCCCACAAACGTGTCATTCATCACTCCGTAGGAAATCACCTTTGATAATTAAATGTAAAGGAAGGCTAAGCATTCTGTCACCATTAACTGCTCTGAGTAGCAGTCTGCTGGCGGCCGTGACTGAGCGCAGAAAGATTAGCTGGGGGCTGCGGCCCGACAGAACAGCAACTGAGCAGCACCTCCGAAGCAAGGAAAGAAAGAGGAACTACGTACACGGGGCGATGTGTGCAGCTTGTAGAAGCTTTCTGTAAGGACACAGGAGAGACAAGTGGTTCTCCTGGTGGAGGGGGAAGACAGCAGCAGCTGACCCTTTTGGAAACTTTTTTCCTGATGCTTTAGCTAAATGGATGATCAGTTCAAAGTGTAGTTCTATCACCCAGGATCTCAAACTGAACATAAGAAATATTTGGCCAAATGAATGCTAATAACATATTACAGCAGCCTGGAAGATGTAGTAGAAGCAGCCACATTTAGAAGATGTGAAAGAATAAGACACGGTAATTTTACACAAAGTGCTATAAGAAACTCAAATGTCAATGAGTGTGTGAATGAAACGTACATTTCAAGATCGGTCTGAAAATACTACAGCTCAAATATGAGGTACATACCCGGAATAAAGAACATTGACAAGCAAAATAATGTGAAAATGCTACCAGTATAATCCAGTTAAAAGAAGAGCTTTCAAATTAAGACATTTCTGATTCTTCTTAAAAAAATAATACATTATCTACTGTTGAGTCACAGCTGGTACCTCTAAGGGACACTCACTATACCAAGGACTAGGCAAGTGAACTTTATTAATTCACTTCAAGGAGAGGCTCAATTAATGTTTAGGCACAGCTGACTCTTCAGGAGGTATTAACACTAGTCCTACAGGTGTTCAAGGTATACAGCTTTGATTTTGAATATGTGAGGCCTTTTCCATGGAATCACAAGCACAAGAAAATTAAGGCAACTATGTAAGAGTCAAGAAGACTTAGACAAAGTACTCCTAATAATCTGTGGATAGTGCTAATTTTGCAAAGACCCAGATGGCTGAAAAGAGAAGTTAGTACCTAGCCCTGGCTGTACGAGTGTAACATCACAGAAAGGCAAAAGACTTTAAAAGAAGATTAACAGAAAACTCCGACTTCAAATAATTTTGCTTTCCGAATCAGAAAGTTGCAACATAGTATTTTGTTACACTCATTTCCACAGCGCATACACAATCAGTGATTTTATTTCTACTTACCTGTTTGCATTTGTCCTCAGCTGCCTTCTTATCTGTTTCAGCCTGCTCTGCTCTGTCAATGGCATTCTCCTTGTCTAACTTCAACATCTGCATCTTTTTCTTGATAGCTTCCATTTTTGCTAAGGAATAGGTTGTATCTGTTGTGCAACTGAAAGAATTCTGAAGGGTAAAGTTTAAGATTTTTTAACAGCTTGGGCAGAGAATGAAGTTGTACCCAGACAAGTCACAGGGAAAATGAGCTCAAGTGGTTGTAGAGAGCTTTAAACCGAGAGACCCCTGGACAAAACCCAGATCTGTTGGCCTCTTCTCTGATCTTTCATGCGCAGCCTTTCTAAGGAATGAGCTGGAACAGACTCACTAGAGGAATCTTCACCTCTCCATCATCTCCTTATTTGGGTCCTGTTTTCTTAAAGAGAAAACTGTTTCCATTTTTAAGCTTCTGACAGAAGCAAATGTGTTGACATACGAACACATGCTTGAAAGAAAGCTTATTAGCACCCCTCCATGTTTGCAGAGCAATTAAACAGCCCAATAGATCTATGGGGAAGGCCTGGCTTCTTATAATAATGGCATAAGACTAACGATGGAAAGGGAAGGATTACTTCAAAAATAAATTCATGCATAAAATAATTTAAAAAAACCCCTACTCTTAAGTGATAGCTTAGCTTATGTTATAAGAAGATGCAGGATATGTAATGAGACAGCAGGTTGTTTTTTTTTCTGTGGAAATAAGCACTGGTGTTAAGGAACTAGCTATCATCTCTTAAAAGTATAATACATAACAGAGGTCAGATTCAGATCCCAAGTCCAGGCTCAAAGGCATTCAGTGAGTTTCAGTGCCTGTCTTTGAAATTTCACTCACTAAATATTTAGGGAACTGAACAATACACCTGAAGTTACAGTCTGATGAGCACTGTAAATTACTTCTGCTGCTGTATGAAGCAGTCACCTTCTCTCTTTCAGGCAAGACAAGAGTAGGCTCTGGGAAGAACATCAGGAACGGCTCTGCTGAGGACACTGAGAGCATCCAGCTGCACCGGGATGAGCCCTATTTCCTTTCCCAGCCCTATTAAACACATCCCCATGCCCCACCTGCCCTCTCCCGTCCCTCCAGAAGCTCTAGTGGAGCTTCACAGCCCATGACACCCACCTTGTCCCGACTGCAGCAAGTGCTTACTTACTCCACTTCCCAGAGGAGACTTGATTTTGCTACACAAGGGGACCTGCATACCCTCATACTCCCGCACTTCTTTCCCAAATTCAGGTCCCATTAACCACCCTACGACCCTTTCCCCCCTGATTCTGCCCCTGCTCTACTCTCCACAGCCCCATGCTCCCTCCCAGGCCGCACACAGCCCAAGCTCTCTGCACACCCTCGCAAACCCTGCCAGGCTCTCCCTCTGAAGGGCTCACA